TTCCTCGTCCAAGACGGAGCCGTCACCGAGTCCACGTCACCTCGCAACCGCACCAACTCGCCCAAGCCAGTCTCATCTGTCACCCCCTTGCCTCCCCCCACGGCCTACTGGGCGGTGGATAGCCAGGATATCCTCGACGACTTGGTCGTCAAGCCTGACAACAACGACGACAGCCGTGACAAAACCCTGCTGGACACGACGGAGCAACAATCGGGAACCCTCGTGTTGGAAGAAGGGCGTGCCGAAGGCCGCGTGTCCAAGGCTGTCGTGGTAGAGTACATCCGGGCGATCGGAGGTTGGCGGTCCATGTCCGTGATGGTGTTTCTGACGGTGGCTGTCGAAGCCATCAAGGTCGGCAGCGACATGTGACTGTCCCACTGGTCCAACCAAAGCACGACGCTGTCCCCAGCTGCGTTTCGAGCCAACACGAACCACAACATCCTCATCTACGGCATCCTCGTTCTTGCCACCAGCGTGGTGACGTTGATGCAGATCGCGTCCGTGCTGATGTATGGCTTGCGCGGGGCAAAGAAGTTGTTCTCGGAGATGCTGCACAGTCTTCTCGAAGCCCCCATGTTGTTCTTCGACACTAACCCCATCGGCCGCGTTCTCAATCGGTTCGGCGACGACATCCTTCAAGTGGACATGGCCATTCCATTCTCCGCGACATCGATGCTGATACATACGGCCTCCGCAATAGCAAAACTCGTCACGACCATCGCCATCACCCAGTGGATGGGACTGATCGTGTTGCCGCTCATGGCTGTGTACACTTTATTGGGTTTGTACTTTTTGGCCCCGTTGCGGGAAGTGAACCGCATCCAAAAGACGACGCGGTCACCGCTGTTGAGTTTGGTCAGCGAAGGCATTGACGGCTCCACGACAATCCGAGCGTTTGGTGCCAAGTACATCCGTCGCTTCAACCTTCTGCACGACAACCTCCTGGAAGATTTTGTGGCCGCTAATTTGGTCGGAGTGACGGCCAATCAGTGGTTTGCGTTGCGGGTGGAGCTGATCAGTTGCTCGATCGTGTTTGCGCTTTTGATGGGGGTTGTGGTGATGCACGACGCCATCAGTGCCGGGCTCATTGCGCTCGTGATTACGTATGGTTTGAGCATTCCTGCCAACTTGGCGGGGCTGGTTAACATCTGGGCTCGGATGGAGACGGCGCTGATCGCCCCCGAGCGACTGCACGAGTACATCCGGCTGACCAAAGAAGGCGAGCGGCACACGCCATTGGACGAAGCGTCGACGTCGTGGCCGTCCCAAGGCCAAGTGCAGTTTGACAATGTGAGCTACCGCTACAAACCCACGGACCCCCTCGTGTTGAAAGACGTGAGTTTCACAGTCAATGGGGGCGAAAAGGTGGGTATCGTCGGACGGACGGGCGCGGGCAAGTCCAGCTTGATGATGTCGCTGTTCCGCATGAACGACGTCGCGGCCGGCCACATCCGCATCGACGGCATCGACATCGCCGACGTCGGCCTGCACAACCTGCGCAGCCACTTGGCCATCATCCCCCAGAACCCCGTCCTGTTCAAAGGAACACTGCGCAACTACTTGGACCCGTTCGACGAGTACGATGACGACCAGCTGTGGCTCGCGTTGCAAAAGGTGCAGCTGGATGGTCGCATCGGCGCCGACTCGGACAAGCTGCTGGGACCCGTGGAAGAAAACGGAGAGAACTTTAGCGTGGGCGAGCGCCAGATGCTGTGCATGGCCCGCGCCTTGTTGCGCCAGGCCAAGATCGTCATCCTGGACGAAGCCACGGCAGCCATCGACCACGACACCGACCAGCTCCTGCAGCAGGTCGTGCGCTCCGAGTTTGCGTCGTCCACGGTGCTCACCATCGCCCATCGCCTCGACACGGTGCTCGACTGCGACCGCATCCTCGTGTTTGACCAAGGTCAATTGGTCCAGAACGACACGCCCGCAGCGCTGGTTCACGCTGGCACGGGCATCTTCTTTGAACTCGTCACCGAAGGCGGGTATAGCTTGGACAAGCAGCTGTAACACTAAACCCTCACCAAATAAATGTGCCAAATAATGTATGATTTCGCACGAATTTCCAGACCCTATCGCAAATCGCTCCCATTGGTCAGTCGGAAAATGTTTGCCACTGATTGACTGTGAGTACAGTATTTTTTCTTGGGGAAATCGAATGAAATTTCGCGGCGATATTTGTAATCGGTTTTACGAATCGCGCAGAATTGGGAAATTTGTAGTAACGTTAACGTTAATGTAAATTCACACTAACGTTACTACTGTCAATTTCACCCAAATTTGCCAATTTCGGGGGATTGTTTGAATCGACAACAAATCCCACAGCGATATGATTGGCTAAAATTACTGATATTTTGAATTATGATTGACTTGTTAATGGAATTCGCAAGGTGAGCCACCTTGCTCCTTTTAATATCCAATCAGAATACATCACACCTTGTTTCTTAAACACGATTGGCTATAACACTGACAGAAGAGGTTACAATTTTGAACTTTGAATTTTGTAGAGTTTTGTGTGATGATGCTCCAGAGACTTGTGCACTGATGATTGAACTCCGACTATGTCCAATGTGGTTCTCCCCTTACAGCTAACATTATGTTGTATCAACCACGTGATCACACCGGCAGGGAGTTGTACGGCACCGACACGGGCTGGATGGTGGAATGAGGGATGGCCAATTTCATTGGGTTAGTAGGCAAGTGGTCAAATGAGACCTGTTAAAATTGACCGAGTCCCGAATACCACATCACATGATCTTGCTCTCATACACAGCCTACAATTATCTCAAGGCTCCTTGCATCAACCGCCATCACAGGAATATATCGCAACAGGGCGTGATGAATCTACGCAGCGATTTTCGTGATTTCACCGCATCTGATTGGACAAAATTGGATAATTTTGAATTCGCAAGGTGACGACGTGCCTTGCGAATTCCAAAAAGAGACAGACATATGAAAAATAAAAATCATCAATACAAACTTGAAGATATATTTAATTGAAACTATACAATTTCAGAATTATTTATGGAATTCGCAAGGTGGTTCACCTTGCGCTTCATACAAATTTGCCTATTTCACCTTGCTTTTTCTGGTTAATGCCACGCAAGACAACTACTCAGACACGCGGGTGTTGCAGACAGGGGTACTCAAATATCTATCTTTTACCTATTCTCAACCAGTGGGTTGATAGATTACTTATCTTTTCTGGAGGATGAAAAAGATAACTTATATTTCCCCGTGGGGAAAATAAAAAAGTTATGTATTACGCACTTGAGAAAGAATATTTTATTCGAATAACTTGAATATCTTGAAGTTCGTGCTATTGAGTCGGAACATTCACGCAATTAACGTGTTGTGGTGCATTTCGCAACATTATATTCATGGCTTTCAGTTGCTTCTTGCGCATTTGGCCAAGCCAAACGGCGATCGCACTCAAAAATGACCATCACTCATGACGCTCGCTGATTGGCTCCAAAATTTGGTCGTCACGATTTCGAGGTCGAAGTGACCACTGGATGCAATGCGAGAGGTGGTAATAGGGTGGAGCAATATAGCTTCGCCAAACAAGTTTCATTGTTTGTCAGTCTACAGTATGGTTACAGTGCTGGCAATAAGTTTAAAGCCACCCAAAAAAATTGGAGTAGGAGAACACCATTAACGAATGTGCCTGTGCAAAAACATTGAATGAGCTTGGATCGCGTGTGAATGATATTGAAATGCTTGTGCTTTCAAAAGCATAACCAAAAATGCGACTTTTGTGACTCAGGTGAATGCTTACCCTGGCAATAAGTTCATGACCACCACAGAAAACCAGCAAAAATTGTTTGTGTAGTGACAAATATTTGTGCTTAATACTTCGTTTTGCCACCTTTGAGCTCTAAAACAGCCACACACCTATTCGGCATTGACTGCAGGAGCTTTTCGATCAAGTTTTGCCCGGTTTCGTTCCACGCCTTGGAAATGGCAGCAACCAAGTCAGTTTTTGTCGCAAATTGGCGCCCATGTGCATAAACTGCACGTGCAAGAACACCCCACATGTTCTCGATCGGATTGAGATCCGGCGACTTCGCTGGTGAATCCTGACTTTCTTGTGCTTGTCCGTGAGATCTGGCGAGGCCCTGGCCTTGACAAACTTGAGGTGCTTGCATATTCCAAGCAATTGACGGGCACGGCGGGCCTTGATGGTGAGCTGGCACTGCTGCACGAGCTCGCGTGAACTCAAAAACGAGTTCGAAGCTGTCCGAATGAGCCGTCGAAGGTCGGTAGGTGTGACCTTTGGTGGTCGTCCCGTCCGCTTGTTCGTGTTATATGCCGCGGGTTCCATCAGGAACCGAGTTATGGCACCCCGCGAGCGTCTAATGAGAAGCTCGATCTCTCGGAGGCTTTTCCCGGCGGCTTTAAGGGCCAAAACCATGTCTTGCTCTTCTTCGGATAGCTTGGCGCCGGCTGGCATGATGCACTTGCGTTTAAAAGTTGATTCAGGCGGGAATCGGTCAAATACAGGGGCGGGAGCATTAAAAACGCGTGTTTTTGACTTAAAAACGCCTGGAAGAGCATAAAAAACATGGTGGATTTATACTTATTGCCAGGTAAAAAAAACTGAATTTGCGTTTTTGTACTTTGATTGAATCATGGACAGCTTAAGGCGGTTGAATCAGTGCAGAAGCGATGGAATACATGCTCGAATCGATTGTATAACTTGGCATGGCCAAGTTACAACAGAATCTTCAGAACATAACAATTTTGGGGTGGCTTTAAACTTATTGCCAGCTCTGTACATCCGAATACATTAAATCTTTAAACCAGCAGCTGATTAACTTCCAATATTACTGATATCAATACAATTGGACTGTAGTGCTTCCGAAACCGAAATAGTATTAAGAACTCAGCATCTTCGAAAGAGACTAGGTTACTGATCAAAAATGCAGTAGCCGATCATTTAAATCCTATGGAACCAAATTAAATCGATCAGCAAACACGTTTTATTAATGGTATGTATCCATCGTCTACGTAATAGTTGCTGTTCGAACGATTCATCGATGGCGACAGAAAACGTGTAGCGCGGTTGCTGTCAATGGACAATCTCTTTTGACGATTCAAACGATAGTAGCGTTGAGCTTCACTGCGCTTGCGCTTCTTCTCATTCGACATCTGCTCGTAACGAGCAATTACAGGCCTTTAAAAGCCTTCGTCATCCGCGCGCAATGGCATCATCGAGAGGTGAAAGTTCGTCAATGCGAACGTCATGCGCTGTTGTGTTGTAGTTTTTCTCACCGCAAGTGTACCTAGCCAACGAAATCTTCCAGAGAGTGCACACGCGACCGAAAAATATCTCTACAACCACCGGATCGGAGGAGAAGTAGTGGTTTCGATCCATATCATTGGCATCCAATGCGCCCTGCACCAGGCGATGGTTGGGATGAATACCCCGCAGCGAGTGGGCAATTCCGATGTAGCCCATGTTGACCAAATACGCCCACGACCCCCGGTACTGCGCACTCAACTCACCATAGTCTGCCACATTCTGCTCACCCGCCGTCTTCAACAGGTTGGTTGGTCGCGTGAAGGGCAGTGCGTATGTGCAATATCGTCAGGTCATGCACGGATCCCGGGAAGCTCTCGCACATTGCCACACATCGGCCTTCCGTTGACACGTTTGCCTCGATCTTGTAACCGTACAGATGAATCTTCCCGATGAAGTAATGTTTCTGCTCGACAAAGCGTTCCTTTGGACGCAGTGCTGGCTGAAACTTTACGTCAACAGCATACAACGCGTACGGAAAGTGGTCAAATCGTCTGTCGGAGTTGGACAAGTCGGACATGGATGGAACTCGAATCAACCCGTCGTAGAGCACAGGTTGACCAGCGTGTAGGACACGCATGACGAGTTTCTCGAAGGTTGTAACCAAAGTCAGCTGCGTGCCTTTCCCATGCTGAAAAGTGTTTCAACACGGGGAGGGCCATAAAGAGCTCGTCCTTGGGGCTAGTCGTCGAGCGCCGGCTACAGCCTTCCATCCTCGCAGTGTTCATAGCATCGTTCACCATCGCCCACAGCGACTTGAACTTAGTGACAGTAAAGTTGGTCATAGATCTAATACCCTCAGAGCCCAAGTCGATCAAGAACTTGTCCATCATTGGGTTTTCGGAGGGCTCCTCGCTGTCGTCACGAAAGTGCGAGACCTCATCAAATCATGCAGGCATAACTCAAGATAGGATTGATCTCGCACTGCTTGGTCTTGGAGACGGTTGAGTACGGCGTTGGTGTTGACAGGCATGGCTGGCGAAATGGAAAGTGAGGGGAAGTGAATTGCAACAAGCTGATTCCCCCAAAGGTGCAGATTTGGGCGCCAACCTCGATACATGTATAACCTACTTTGTGTTTTTAATGCAGGCTTTAATCGAATATCCTTAATAAGTACATTTTTGGCGAAACTTGCGCTTACTCTCGGACTCTCCTAGCCTTTACATGACATCTACTCATCTATGGGATTCTCAAAGATTTCATCATACTGTATAACGTAAAATATTGTCGATTTGATACAAATTTGGGGAAAGTGTCATCGACTCGCGCCGACCAAACCGATCCACAATCGATCGGATTGGTTGAATTTCATTGAGAAGGTTTTAATTGGCTAATAATGTTGAGCTCATCTGAGGTAGCCGATCAAATCGATTTAAATTCCAACGAGAAACCACACCACAACACGAAATTTCACTCGAAAGCACAATATTTCGGTCAAACCTTTGGTGGTGGTAGGCTCACTTGTTGAGGGATATCTCAGCGATTACAGCACGAACTCATGTTAAATTCAATGTGCTTGCACACCAGCTTCGTCTATGTCACCATGAAATCAACTTGCACACGTTTTGGGTACAAAAAGGCTCGATTCACTCCGAAAACAATGCGATATGGCTGAAGAAAGTTGTGCACTTGGTAACTTGTCAGTACAATTTACGAAGAATCAGGTAGTAGGAAAATTCCGAATAGTACAATGTACGAAGAATCAGGTAGTAGGAAAATTCCGAATAGTGTTAGTGGGTGAAATTGTGATACTACATCACGTCGGAGATCGAGTACAGTTCGTTGGTTAGTCGATCTCTAATCAAGTGGTGAGTTTATTGGAAGTCGCATAAGCTTTCCGCCGTACATCCTCCATGGCACTCCGAAATTGAAACACACCAAAGCCTTGACAGCAACGATGTGGGTAGAAGGGCCACCTCGTAGCTGTCAAGGCGTAGTGTATTCACACTCGTAGTCTCCAAGTATGTCAATGTGTTGATGTATCGATGGCATCAGCGGTGTGCCCCAGCACCGTAGTACCTCCTCTGTTCCATAAAGAAGTTGACAACCGAAGCGGAATAAAATATATATGAGAATTTTTATGCTTAATTTATAATAATACTCCTGAAATATGTATTATTTGCACTTTTACGACCATCATCTGCTGATTTTCTTCGTCGACTTTTTCTATCGCAAGTTCTTTGGCCATTTTACAAATTGCGTTAACATTGCTCATGTGGACATGCCCTTGAGTAGTGCAATCAGACTCAAAGAGTTCAATCATGTTGTCGACGCGCCGCTCGTAGTCAATGCGCTCCTCCATGGCTTCAATGGATGGAGCAACATCGCTGTCGCATTCCAGGCGGGGAGGGAGTGAGCCGTTCACAAATAACGTGTCCTTCTTCATGTGCTGCAACTTGTAAATATTGTCGCCTGCTACTTTACATACATACCCCATCACTTCTGCAACGTCACGAACGTTTTGTCCAACGCGCATATATCCAGATCAAAGAAAGCAGAATGCACAGCCAACACCAATTCTTCAATTGATGTCGTTAGAGTTAGATGTTGCAGACACTGAATGGCATTGAAAAATCCGAGGTCCAGAATGTTCATATCCGGACATTAGTCTGGTTGAGCGCACAATTTGATGTTCCATCCGTCCATAGAGACTGCAATCCGAACAGCAACATAGTCAACGCTGACATGGGGCCTTGCATTATCTTGTTGGATCGAGATCACGCTTGATCGTTGCCGCGGCCATAGGGATCGAATCGCTGGGATAACCTTGTTGACAAGGTAGTCTCGGTTCACCTCCCTGGTGACTGTCGTCGGTGTTTTGTCTCCCGCTTCTTCTAGGCTTTCGGCCACGGGACCTTCGTCAAGGCAGCAAATATACACACTGATATTAGTGAAGTTAAACACGCCACGAGGCGCCTACTGACTACCATTCACTAAAGTACTCAGTACCTCCACTAAGGTATCGGAACCTTTGACACGCAACACACACAGAGTGTGTGTGTTTGCAATGGGTCAAACTAACGCGCGACCCAATTGCTCTGCACGCTGCAGAACACTTCCCCTCCTACGGAAAGTCCAGTGTCTTGATGAGGGCGGCCACGGTAGGGTCTTCCTTGTTCGCCGCCGCCCACTTGCGAAATACGACTGGAATGTCGTCCAGCAAATTCGCCGCAGGTTCCCAGGACGATTCTTCATCGTCCAATCCAAACCACTTCACCAAAACTTGGTGTTGGCCATCCACGCAGCGCGCTTCGTCCAGGCACTCCACATGAAATCCGTCATCGCCAAACGCGATCTGCGCCTCGAGGTCTTCAGTCACCTCTCTACCACCTTCGTGGTACATCTTCAATAGGCACGCATGATGGACCGTGACTTCATACGGTGGCACCAGCTGCTGAGTCTCCATCACATGGTCTGTGATGACCCTAGTCACTTGGCAGGGTCCTCGCCAATGCAGGGCCAATTTTGTCGGACGGTTGAC